TCACGTCCACATCTGAACATAAGCCTCTTCAAGTCTTCCTTTCCATTGTTTTTTATTGTACGCTACTTGTAGCCAATTTTTCCCGGCAGTCCTTTTCAGATCATCTGTCCATCTCATAGGAGGTCTGCCTCTGGGTCTTTTGTGTTGGTATGGTCTCCAGGTTAAAATTGATCTGTGCCATTTGTTTAGATCGCTCCTAGCTACATGTCCAGCGTATTCCCATTTCAGCTTTAATGCTTTTTGCACCACATCGGTGACTTTGGTTTTCTGTCTTATCCATGTGTTTGTTTTCTTGTCCTTAAGTGATATACCTAGCATTGCTCTTTCCATCGCGTGTTGAGTGACTCTAAGTATATTCATATTCTTTTTTGTGATTGTCCATGTTTGTGCCGCATAAGTTAATATCATTCTATGAGACATTATATAGCAACCAATCGACTCTAGATATAGTCGAATATCAACAGAGGAAGGTTCAAAATCAGGGTTCCGAAGATATTCCAGAAATCTCCTTGAACGAAATTTACAAGGCCCTAAAAAAGATGAAGAATAACAAAGCTCCGGGGGAGGAGGGTGTCGTCACTGAAGCGATAAAGATAGGAGGCTCAGTACTGATAGCCAAAATTCAAAAGCTCTTTAATCTATGCCTATGGAATCAAAATATCCCAACAAAGTGGAATAATTCAATAACTGTACTCTTACACAAGAAGGGAGATGTAACAGACCTGGAAAGATACAGACCAATCAGTCTCCTTAACCATCTTTATAAATTATACACCCGAATAATAACGAATAGATTAGAGACAAAGCTGGATTTTTACCAACCTCGGGAACAAGCTGGTTTCCGCCCTAATTACGGCACAAACGATCACCTGCAGTGCCTAAAAACCCTAATAGAAAAAACTAACGAATATAACCGTCCCTTGGCATTGATATTTGTAGACTTTAAAAAGGCGTTTGATACAGTCGAACTACCGTCCATCTTAAGAGCACTACAAGATTGCAGGATCGACCACAGATATTGTAATATAATTAAAAATATATATGAAAATGCCACAACAACCATAAGTCTATATTCTGCAACTAATAAAATAAAGATAAAAAGGGGAGTCAGGCAAGGTGATACCATGTCACCAAAGCTGTTCATTACCGTTCTTGAGTATGCATTTAAAAAACTAACATGGCAACAGAAAGGAATATCCATTAATGGAGAAAGATTAAACCATCTACGTTTTGCGGACGATATCGTGCTTCTGTCAGATAATCTGGGAGAGATCAAAGACATGCTCCAAGAACTGAATGACATACTACAAGAAACTGGGCTGGAGATAAATTTCGAGAAAACCAAAATGATGACCAATATGGTTCCCAGCGAAGAGATACAGATCAATAACAACAAGGTAGAATTAATCGATAAATACACATACTTGGGTCATGAAATTAGAATAACCAGAGACAACCAAACCTGCGAGCTAAATAGACGAATCATGTTGGGATGGGCGGCATATGGACGGATGAGAGACATTTTTAAAACAAATATCCCAATTCACCTGAAAAGGAAGGCATTTAACCAATGCATCTTACCAGTCTTGACCTACGGAGCAGAGACCTTAACTTTAACGAAAGCTCCCTCCGAAAAACTGAGGGTAATACAAAGGCGAATGGAGAGATCAATGCTGGGCCTGACCTCGAAAGATCGCGTAAGAAATGAGGAGATACGCCGACGAACTGGCGTAGACGATATTATACTGCGAATCAATAAACAAAAGTGGAGGTGGGCTGGACAAGAGCCGACAAGCGAAGTCGAGGCAGACCACCCACCCGATGGACCGACGACCTAAGGAGGATAGAAACAAACTGGATTGCAGCAGCTAGAGATAGAGAGAACTGGAGACGTTTGGAGGAGGCCTATATCCAACAATGGATATGAAAATTCGGCTGGATGATGATGATTAAATAAAATGTGATTAATTACTATTTATAACTGGGAATAAGCCACAATTAAAGATAAAAAATACGTTTATTGACGTTTCAGAAGAAGAAATTAGAAGAATTTTTTCACTATGTAACAAAAAACAAAATTTGTTTAATTTACTGTTTGTATTTTGAGAACGATTTCCGAATTGGAAATTGAAACGTCAATAAACGTATTTTTTATCTTTAATTGTGGCTTATTCCCAGTTATAAATAGTAATTAATTTACAATGCCACAAGAAAATAGCTTCAGAACAATAAAAATGTGATTATATAAATAAAATATGATAATATATAATACTTCAAAGAATAACGAAAAATAATAAATGAAAATTTGTGTTTATTAACTCACAAAAAATTGCGTACGCCTTTTTCCGGGTGAGTTTTTGATGTTTATACGAGCTTCCATATATTTCTAACTTCGACTTTGTAAGAGCGATATTCTCCTCCATTTTCCTGCTAACAAGGCCATCAAGTTGACGGATAATAAAATAAATTCCTGTAACGATTATTTCCAAAGCTTCCGTTTTGAGTCTAGACATAATCGTACAGCTCTACCTAAATTCAAATTTTAACACATCGGAAGCCCAAATTGTTATTTTTATATTACGACATAGATTCAGTTTTAAGCAGCAGCTTACATAACACTTGTAATACCATTAGAGACAGGGAGCAGTAATACATACACGTTATCTATATTAGACGTAAGTATTTTATCTTTGTTTCTATAATAACGCAGCTTAATGTGTTGGTAATGGTAATGGGTGCCATTAGACATGTCCATATTTGTCGACTATTATATTAAAGTTATTAGTCTGTTTTATTGGGTACGATAAAGAAAACAAAAATAGATCCTTTTTTGACTTTTTTAATGGTATTTTATCATTATCTTAATAAACTATTCATTTCTATGAAAAGTGACGCTTAGCTGTTGCATTTGAGCCTTTCTGGTTAGAAAATGGGCTACATATAAACCATTGTTTCTAATTTAGATAAAAATTATTAGGTATCCTTACCTAACACAAAAAGGTATAAAATAGAAATTAAAAAAAAAAGGCGTGGATACTACATTATATAGGTATCTCTTCTTCTTAAAGTGCTCTCTCCTCAATGGAGAGTTGGCTACTACAATTTTAAACTCTTCTCTATCTTCAGCTGTTTTTATTAGCTGTTCAAAATTTAGCCCTGTCCATTGTCGGATGTTTCTGAGCCACGATAGTCTTTTCCTTCCTAGGCCTCTCTTTCCCTCGATTTTTCCTTTCACCATAAGTTGGGCATATTGGTACTTATTATTTCTCAGTATGTGGCCTAGGTATGATGTTTTTCTAACTTTTACTGTGTTAAAAAGTTCTCTTTCCTTGCCTATTCTATGCAGCACTTCTTCATTTGAGGTATGCGATGTCCATGAAATTTTGAGTATTCTCCGGTAGATCCAGATTTCAAAGGCCTCCAATTTATTTACGGTTGATGTTTTAAGGGTCCACGTTTCAACTGCATATAGAAGAGGCAACCAGATGTAGCATTTTGATAAACGTAGTCGAATTTCGAGTTTTATTCGAGAATCACAAAGCAGTTTTTTTATTTTTTCGAAAGATTTTCTGGCCTGTTCTATTTTTGATCTTATTTCTAGATCAGGATTTAGGCTGCTATCGATCCAACATCTCAGGTACTTAAATCTATTGACCTGTTCTAAAATGTGCCCATTTATTGTGCAAGGTTTAGGTACGTTTTGGTTTTTTCGGATTGACATCACTTTGGTTTTTTTATTGTTTATTTTTATACCAAATTGCTCACAGGTCGAGTTGGTCTTGTCGATGAGTCGTTGTAGACCTAAGTCGGAATCCGCAATTAACACTGTATCATCGGCGTATCTGATATTGTTGATATTTACGCCATTCACATTGACTCCATCCTTGGAATCACCCAATACTTCTTTAAATAGAAACTCGGAGTAAAGATTAAACAGCAGAGGCGACAGAACACATCCTTGTCTAACTCCCCTCCTAATTTCTACTTCTGCGGATGTGGAACCTTCGATCCTAACTCTGGTGTTTTGGTTCCAGTATAAGTTTTTTAAGAATTTGATGTCTTTTCCATCTAAACCGACTGCTTGCAAACGTTTTAATAGTAGGTCGTGTCTTACTCTATCAAATGCTTCTTCGAAGTCTATAAAGCATATAAATATATCTTTCTGACGGTCGTAGCATTTTTGGGCGAGAACTAGTAAACTGAACAGAGCTTCTCTCGTTCCCATGCCGGCTCTGGATCCAAACTGATCTGATCGTCTCCGATGATTGTTTCGTACTTTCTATAGATACGATTATGTACGATTTTTAGTAGGACTTTTACTGTATGACTCATAAGGCTTCTCAGACGGAACTCATTGCAGTGTTGTGGGTTTGGCTTTTTTGGTAGTGGGATGAATATTGACTCCAGCCAATCTTGGGGTATTTTACCTGTATCATAAATGCGATTGAATAAAAGGACAAATATTTCGATATTTTCTTCATTCATAGCCAGAATGATCGCCAAAGTTCGGAACGGACAGAAACCCTAAGAAGAATTCTATCCGGTTTCTGTACGGTGGTGATACCGGTTTCATCATCAAACTTAAAATAAATAATATAGCTTTGTGTCACTTACATAGAATGCTCGTAAAATCTTTCTCTTTTCATACGCGCCAGTATGATAATGGCACAAGATTATCCATCGAATAACCTCCGCTATGAGTGGCGGAGGTTGTATTATGCACATAATTGCCAGACTTTATATGATTTATGAAGATAAAAAGAAATACATACAAAAAAATTAACAGGCATTAAGATGTTTTAAAAATAAAAAAATACTTCTGCATAAAAATATGGCTCTATGGCACTACTTCACGGGCCTTCACTGTGTAATTTCCTTTACATACTTATTTTATTGGAACAATATCTTTAGTGGAAATTAGATTTTTAATCAGGCTATAGAATATATCTTTATTTACTAACTATACTTTATATTTTAATCAATTTTTTCTTTTGTTTCAGGTGATGGTATTGACATACACATCCATCCTACTTATAGCCTGCTTCTCGTCCATAGTTCTAGCTTCATTCTGTTCCGAAAGACAATACCTCAATGCCAAACTGCAAAAATGCATGAATTGTTCGCTGTGCAAAAACAATACAGTCGTTCTACGCCCTTGCGAATTCCACCGTGACACTCTCTGTGCCCCCGTTAGTGAATTGCTGAAGACGATGAATACGGGAAATCCCCATAGACATAAGCATAAACAACACCCTCAACACCATCACGTGAAAACGCCGAAAGAAGATGAAGATATCGAGTGGCGATATGGTGATGATATACGAAATGTTCGGCCTAGTACCGTACAAGAAGAACCTAAAGCAGCAGCATCAGAGATCTCCCGATCCGATGCTCCATTCTCTAGTACCGAAGCCTTGGTATGGGACTGGCAGGCTATCGCGTTGACTGTTGCGGTGTTCTCGTGCATACTGTTTTTTCTAGTTATCACCCTCTATTCATTGCATCAGGCTAAGCAGTGGAGGAGGCTAAAAGAAAACTTTGAATCAGGTGAGTAAAACTTTTCAAATATATATTTTAGCATCCTGGGCGTGTGCTTTTCAGATATACCTAATTGTTTAAATTTCCAGAACAGATAAATAATGCACTTCTAGCTTATACTATAGATATTTATGTGCCAGTACTTTCAGACCGTCAGATTTCAACACGAAGTTCAACCACGATTTTCTCCCTGACGTCTTTTTGTGTACTGAAATGCCATATGAGATAAGAAAAGAAAGAAAATTTATAGTTAAACCGGGTTGTAGTTTCTGAAAATCGAATTTTCCTTAAAATAATTTGTGTTCGCGAACGAAAACCTTATCGTAGAAACTAATAAACTTTTAAATGACATGAAGGAGAAAATCACGGACAATGACCTACTAACATTACATATTTAGGTCATCATTAACACACTTAGAGCACTAATAGCCCTTGCCAAAATTAAAAAAAAAAAATAGAATAAATACATATTGATTCCTAAGATGACATAAGGAAGAAAATCATTGCACTACATTCGACTTTACGATTTTTCGATTTTCGAATTTACAAAAGAAATTCAATTTTCACGCAGATGCCGCTATGACCCACAGTTTTCACATACTTTACTCTGGTTGATTTAATCTTTCTCTATCCTCTACGCAGTACCTGTGTTAGGCCCTGTGTTAGACCCTGTTCAAGGCATATTTTAAAAAGCGTTATTGAGATACGACAACCCTGTGTTAGGCCTTTGGTTACTGTGATATTTTCTAACAGTTTATTCTCTATTTTTACTCGAGACGATATGTTATTTTTTAACTGTTTAACTGGTAGTTTAACCGTTTATTTTGTTAACTGCCTTTATGTTTATGTTAATATTGCTTAATTCTAACGTTTTCCAGAATCGTTTACGAGATAGTCTATCGTAAGCTTTTTGATGTCAACCTTTAGTAAATGTACCTCTTGGTTCCTAGCGATTTTCTTTTCTATTAGTTGCGTAACACAAAGTATGTGTCGGAGAATTACCAGACTTGGGATGCACATATTAGTGTGATTGATTGTTCGATTCGTACGGCAAATCATGAAGGAACTAAGCGTACTCCATATTTTATCAAGTTTGGTCGCAATATTGGAGAAACTACATACAGCAACTATACTCAGACCCAACTAGAAGAAACTCTGAAAGTGAATACAAAAGTGAACACTTCCCCAAAATATTGAAGTCAGAAGTTGTAAGGGCAATCAAACAGAGCAAATGGGGAAAAGCACCAGGCCCAGACGACATATACATAGAGGTTCTAACAATGTTGAGTGAAGACAATTTAGACGCCTTGGTAGATCTTTTTAACGACATTTATGGGTCCGGTCAAATACCACAGGACTGGCTTCAATCAACCTTTATACCAACCCCAAAAAAGCCAAATTCTAATAGGTGCGACCAATTCCGAATGATCAGCTTATTGAGCTAGGTCCTAAAACTCTTCTTAAAGATAATTTACACAAGAATATACAACAGATGTGAAAGAGACATTAGCCCCACACAGTTCGGTTTCAGACAAGGATTTGGCACAAGAGAAGCACTTTATAGCTTAACTGTCCTACTTCAGAAATGCAGAGATCAGCTAAAAGATGTTTTATAGATTACCAGAAAGCATTCGATTGTGTTAATCATTCAGAATTAGTAAGATTGCTCCAGGAACGTTCGATATATGAGAATGACCTTAAAATCATAAAGAACCTTTATATGAATCAAGAGGCATCTGTTAGAGTACGACTGGAATCTACATCATATTTCTCAATCGAAAAAGGTGTACGATAGGGTTGTGTTCTGTCACCCCTCCTTTTTAATCTTTACTCTGAAACGATTTTCGATAGAGCCTTAAGTGACACTGAAGATGGCATCAAAATCAACGGACAGACTATTAGTAATCTTCGATATGCTGATGATACAGTCATAATAGCTGATAGCCAAGAAGCGCTGCAACGACTAATAGATAGAATAAACACTGAGGGAGAACGACTGGGCTTGAGGATTAATATAGACAAGACGAAGGTAATGGTGGTTAGTAAGAAAGAACATCCAAAAGGTCCCCAAGTTCAGATATCTCGGTAGTTGGATAACTGAAGATCTAGATACAGACATGAGATACGTAGCAGGATTGAGCAAGCCAGAACAGCATTTACTAATATGAGAACCTTGCTAAGCAACAGCAGCCTCAACTTAACGCTTCGATATCGCTTTGTAAAATGTTACATTTACTCCATACCACTATATGGTGTAGAAACCTGGACCATAAAGGCCAATGTGATCAACCGATTGGAGGCTTTTGAAATGTGGGTATTTAGAGGACTACTTAAAATTCCCTGGACAGATCACACAACAAATGTCGAAGTATTAAATCGAATGAGCAGAGAACGAGAATTGCTGCCAATAATAAAAAGAAGAAAAACTGCTTCTCTGGGTCATATATTTCGAAATTCCAAGTACCAGTTCTTAAAGCTTATTATGGAAGGGAAGATAGAAGGAAAACGAGGCATCGGAAGAAAGAAATACTCATGGCTTAAAAACATAAGGGATTGGACAAATCTCGATGCCCATGCACTTTTTAGAGCCACACAAGATCGAGAGGAGTATGCCAGAATTGTCGCCAACATCCACTAATTGGATAGGGCACCATAAGAAGAAGAAGGTTGCAATATGATATTAAGTGGTAAAGACTATATAAGTAAGGAACTACTTGGTGTGGAAGATGGTACACAGTTGAGTGACACTAGTCGCAATAAGGAATGTTCGCAGGTGTTAGAAAGAGTTTAGAAGTAGCTGTTAGGAAGAGTTGTAATAGATACAATTTTGGGAAGAGAGATGTGGAATACCTGCCAAACCAGTGCGGCGTCGTAATTTTGTTCTATCAGAAACTAGCCAGTATTTTTCTAATAAGTTTGTACCGAAATTTGTTGGACCTTGCTATATTAAAAAGAGGATCTCATCAAGGACTTTTGAGCTTAGGGATCTTGATTATAAATATTCGCAAGTGTCTGGAACGTTAGAGATTTGAATCCAGACCCAGGTGACGACGAAGAGTAAGTTGTACAGGTGCAAGAGATATTTTTAGGAAAAATCTCTTGTAGAAACAAGAGAGTTGTTACGTTTTAAAAATTCAACTATCTAAATAAAATATCAAAATATTGTTTCTGTCAATAAGATTACTCCACTCTCCCGTAATATGCAAAAGCCATTGTAGAAAATAGATTGTTGTCAAAATTCTTCCCATATTAGTGATATTTGGGTAATAGCTTTTGAATCTGGCAAGGATTGTCTTTTCTGTACGTCAAATTGACAGTCGTTTTTGGTATTTTTATGTCATAGGTTTTAAAGATAAGGTTCTATTAATGTAGGTTCCATAGCGACTGGTTAATGGAAGTAATAAAGTTTATGTATTTCATCTTTGATATCATTCAATATTTTCATCGTTTCTTTACTTATTCGGTAAGGCGAAACGTGTGCGTCGTTCGTTCTCGAGGCGGCGACTGTCGCGGTATTCTGATCCAAGGGCAAGGTTGCATTGTGCCTGTGCCGTTTGTTGGTTTCGTGCTTCCGATAAGGCTTGCCTTCCGGATATCCCGCTAGCGTTCGTATACTTCGTTTCGAGCGTCAACTTACCTCCAGCCTGATCCGATTAGAGATCACTGACAGGCGGAGTGTTTGACTGGAGCGGTACATCTGTCAAAGAATAACGCAGGTGTTCTAAGGTCAGCTCAGCGAGGACAGAAACCTCGCATAGAGCAAAAGGGCAAAGTATGAATAGGGACTACGAAAGCACGGCCTATCGATCCTTTTGGCTTAAAAGAGTTTTCAGCAAGAGGTGTCAGAAAAGTTACCACAGGGATAACTGACTTGTGGCGGCTATTTCAACCTTTGATACTTCGATGTCGGCTCTTCCTATCATTGCGAAGCCTAATTCGCCAAGCGTTGGACTATGCACCCATAGACAGGGAACGTGAGCTGAGTTTAGACCGTCGTGAGACAGGTTGGATTTACCCTACTAGTGACTCGTCGTTGCGATAGTAATACTGCTCAGTACGAGAGAAACCGCACAATTGGTTGAAGCACTTACTCGAGCGGGTAATGGTGCGAAGCTACCATCCGTGGGATTATGCCTTAACGCTTCTAAGGCCGTATCCTTTCTAGTCAAAGGTGGTAACGATATCTCTTGGAGTTCCGAGAGTCCAAAGGCTCAAAACAATGTGACTTTACTAGACAATCGTAGTTCGCTTATTTCGTGAATTATGAATTATTTTGCATTTTGTAAAAGCAGTGTTTTTCAAGAATCGTCTAATTTATTTGATTTAGACTAACATCCCAAAGTACACAATAATAAAATAAATAAAGCACAACATCGTAAACCATTAAAATAGTACCTTAAACTATTATATTTTTAAAGCTTAAGATGGCTTGACTAAATGATAAATATGTTTTCTTTCCGAAAATGTAGGAGACTAACAGAAAATTTAATCACCCATGTAGATAATCAGAAATGAAATCTAAGAATTATTAACTTAGTTAGTTCCAGCAAATTCATAACGAAATTACATAACAGATTCTAATACACATCTAAATCTGTCCCAAAAACGAAAATAAGTCGTCCCAACGCCTACCAGTTCAAAATTAGCCGGCAGATGCTCTCGTCGAACGGCCGACCATCTTGTACATCGTTCCAATTTACTTGCATGAACTTGTCATGGTCAATTTATCAAAGATATATACTGAATGAAACGAGCAATAGTGACAGGTGCTAAACTAACGCTATGTGTAGTTGGGAAAGGAGAAGAGACCTAGAAACTAATTGAACTTTACCTTAAAACTGGAGACAAGCAGTCTGAGAGTTGCGGTGGCTAAAATTAATTCTCAATTAAATAATTCATTCAAGATGTTGTTCTTACGCGTACATATGCGTTTGCGAATTCTAAATCAATGCGAATTTTGAATCAATATGATACTTCTTATCCATCTTTGGAATATTTGTTTAATGTTT